CTCTCTCTCTCTCTCTCTCTCTCTCTCTCTCTCTCTCTCTCTCTCTCTCTCTCTCTCTCTCTCTCTCTCTCTCTGTGTGTGTCTGTGAACACGTGTACACGTGTATGTGTACACGTCTGTGTGAACGCGCGCACACACACGAAAAAACAAGATCATATTCCCAATGCAGATCTCTGACGTATATTCCGCGTAGTCAGAGCCGTGCTCTGGATCGTCAATGGCATGAACATGGATCGTCATTCATCCATCGCATGGAAGATAAAGGTAGGGGACGGGCAGGCGGGAGGGTGCGCAGATGAGGTGAGAGAGGACACTTACGTAGCTCTGTGAAGAAGAGGACGACCATAAAGATCGAGGAAACGATAGTGATAACCCCTCCAGACAGGGTTCGACTGTAAAAGTCTTCATTGATCTTCGGGTAAGCGTCCCAGTTCTTCAATCTGTTCAAAACCTCCATGCCTGCAAAGCAGGCTACACAACCTAAATCAACGCAGTTCCACCCACCCCCCTCACCGTCGTCCTTCTATAATTAACCCTTCCTTTTCCACGAGACCAATCGCCCCTTCAGGCCCACTTCCTCTTCCCCTTTTCGATTGCCGCTGTATTCCCCGCAATTACTCAGCACCTCAACTCGCTTCCCGCCTCCTCCATGCTCTCAACTCTTCTATCTTCCGTCATCACCAGTTCCCCTCTGTAGGCGGGAACTGGCCACCTCCTTCCTTCTCTAAGCACTCGTTCCCTCTCTCGCTATCTCCGCTTTCTCTCCTCTCTCGGACTTAATGATTCAGTAGCGAGCAACACAAGCTCTAAAGTCAGCTCACGTGCAATCGAGCAACCGGCGCTGCCCTGCCGCCACCCAGTACGACGACACGCACCCCGTCTTCGCCTCCTCAGCAGCTCTCTCTCGAGAACTGCGGCGTCCTCGGATTTCCGAGTCTACGCAGCCTTCCCGCCAACCACGGCAGCATGCAAAATGGCGTTAGCCGATGGGACCTCCACTTGCACGGCCACCGCTTTTCCCCGCCGGTTTTACCGCGACCTTAGTTTTACGAAATGGAAACACCCGCCCGGAGGTCCGGGTCCTGGCGGGTGTCTCCGGAATTGGGCTATGGACGGACTGACCACCGTAGAATTATTGCCGGTCCGACACCGAGGGTTCGAGTCCACAGTGGTCGGTGCTCGCGTGCCCAAAAGCGAGATCCGAGGTATGTGACTTGCGATACCTCTCTGCAAGCACTGGTGATTCGTATCGGGTACGCTGCCGTGAACCCCGTCACCTTGCACAGGTCACACAAAGCACACGTAGTTGGGACGATGTATGCAGAGGAGATTAGCATAGCTTCGCCAGTCAGGCATCACTCCAGATCCCGATCCCCCGGACTTCGACTTTCTAACGTACTAGTCTAGTCCCCCCCCACTTCAGCCGTGGCGAATTGTGATGCCCTTCCGTTCTGTTCTGGTTTATGGGACGAGGCTACCCCTCTTCCGTGGTTCATGCCCGGCTCACGCCCACGATTTTTCAACGGTTTTACGGCCCCAGTTTTACAAAATCGAAAACCCCGACCAGGTTCGGGTCCTGGCGGGTGTAAGGTCAGTCTCCGGAGTCGGACTATGAAGTGAAGTGACGGGCCAAGCCCCACTGTCCGTTTCTTGGGCAGTGATGCGGAAATGAGCGAACCCATTACGCAAACGAGTGTGCCCCATCACTTCTTCTTTTTTTCTTCACAAAACGAAGCAGCTCATTTGATTATACACACCGAACGCCACAAGCACAGGAGGAGGGAGGCATTGCGGGACCTGGTCAACGGCACTGAATTGCGCTCCAGTCCCAGTCTGTTGCCTGGCTTGGCCTTGCTCGGGTCCCAGTCCGTTGCCTGGCTTTTGTGCTCATGTCCCAGTCTGTTGCCTGGCTCGGCCTTGCTCGGGTCCCAGTCTGTTGCCTGGCTTTTGTGCTCGCATCCCAGTCTGTTGCCTGGCTTGGCCTTGCGGACTATCCGGTAATGCTAGTGCGTTGTGCGTGTAGCGGTTTTTACCACCATCTTCACTGCGAGCTTCCTGAACCGTAACGTGGTTTTCTTTCCACTGGACATGACGGTATGGACGTTGTCTCATATTCAGCAACTGCAAAGTTGACATTCATCGACAATCCACACAAACTTGAGACCAGCCAGGGAGGGAGAGAGAAAGCGAAAGACACCAGACAGGGACAAGCAAGTAGACATAGACGGCCTTAGGTCAGAGGAGGAGATGATGACTCCAGGACAAGAGATAGACTATGCAAGGATATCAAAAAACTCCCAAACGCATTGCTTGCTTCAAAAGATAGTAGTGAAAAACAACAAGAAACAAACGCAAGCATCCGTATGGCAAGCGATCCTACCGGTTTCGGCTGGCCGCCATAACCAGCACTCTTCAAGGGTCTTCTCAATTTAGGACCGAGTAAAGCTCTATTTACTTTGCGAATAGAAAAAATGCTAGCACTAAGAACTTACTAGCAGACTCATTCTAATTCGCAAAGGTACCAACAACAGACCTTGGGAAACAAACCGAAGAGTCGCTACTTCCATTTTTCACATCAACCTTAGGTACCGAGTTGAAAACTTAGAAATCATTGCATTACTTCTCACTTCTACATACCACCCCGGGAGTGCAAAGAAACTCAGCTCACCTTTTGAAACCCAGACATGGCTATTCTAACACTCAGTCTCATAGCCTAAAAGGTCCTCCAGACGTTATTCGCCATTAAAAAAAATGATTCTCAAATACCGGGTTCAATCCCATCCTAAGTTTACTAAAAAACAACAGTCAAGGTCTACTGAGAAAAACCAGACATCCACGTCGAGAGGTTCAGAACCCTATTTCATGCCTTAGTAACTACAAAGACCTCTAAAGGCGAGGCCGAGTAACATACACCTTATCAAAAAACTTACCCCAACTCATCAACATAGATATCCATTCATCCCAAATCCCGCCGAATGTCCTCCAGAAATTTATCAGTGCACAGTCAAATAGTTCATCCGGGTATCCTTTTTTTTTCAACTCGTTCTTCAAAGTAAAGAGAAACGGAAGCTCGGTACCAGCAATAGAAGTGAAGGTTTTTGCCTGCTGGAGAAAAAAATTCATAACCGCAAGTTTTTGCTGACGGCTTATATATAAAACAAAATCTTGAATATTCTTAAAAGTTCATTTACCATCCTAGGTTCCCTTTGGTTCTTGTGTAGTGGGAAAAACACCCCCAGTAGAGTCATAAATATCCAGGACACAACCAAGGGAATCCCAGCAACAGTCGTCACTCGTTTGCTCCAAAGTCAAGTTTTCGTTGTAACATTTGTTAAAAGAATACAGCAACCTTTGATCGTGCTCCATCGGCACCTCACAATCCTTCCTACAAATGACGAATAAAAAAATATCATTCATCCACCTAAAAACTCGGAAGAGACGACGATCATATCCTAAAATAAAAAGGAAAGATAACTCATTGAAGGCATGAAGTAGACCCGTAAGAGTTGGGCTAGTGGGTTTGTCCATAGGGATGCTGACAATTTGTTGCAGTAGCTCACCACCAGCGAAGACAAAAGTATGATGCAACTCGAAAGTCAGAAACCAAACCAATAGCTCAAATGAAACATGACGCCACCCCTCCTTTGTCCTTCCTCTGACTAACTTGTTTTCTTCCCTCAAGTCTTAACGACAACACATTTGACCCCTTCCCCTTGCCAAAAGTCAACAACTCAGTCGAACGCACGAAAAATGGAGAGATGTGGTGAATTTGAAAACATCTCTTTGATATCAAAACAAATCTCATAAGTGTTTTATCTTTCTTCAACTCGAAGTTCATAGTTTTTATTTTTTGAGTCAAATCTTCAGTACAACATAAATTAAAATTCGTATGGGCAGGTAGATTTCACAACAAACAATTAACCACTCGAGATATGACACAACCACCTACGACCCCAGATTCTAAGTAGGATGGGCAGATTGAGCGTCATCTTAATGCATTTTGTGTTTTGGTAGACAATAAGTCCGACCCAACGATCTTTGGGGATTCCACCTTCCCACTTAACAAAGATTTTGTTCCTCGTACGAGATCCGACATTGCTTCAACAGGAACTCCTGATCCGCCTTACAAATAGAAAAGGAAAGGTTACCAGAGAAAAAAAAAAAATTGTACCTGCTTCATAGACAAGAAGATAACAAACAAATGCATCACTCATATTATGGTAAAAAAAACTGCAGATAAGACCATGGGAAAATTATTGAAAGCGACGCATATCATTGACATAACAGATAAGAGAAGTATTTTCAAATAGAGTAAAGAAAGAAAAATTAAATCGTGTCAATAAGTCTTTTAACGTCAGAAGATAGGAGGCCAAGATAGGCAAAAAGTTCAAAGAAAGAAATGAAAATGTTATCCGTCTACATAAAGAAAAGATGGATATAGTTCGAGAAAAGCGAATAATATTCTTGCTATTTTTAATTAAAGAAAGAAAATCAGCCACATTTTTCACCCGGAATATCACATGGCCACCAGTCATCAGGAACAAGGGTGAAGAGCTAAGCCATGTACAAGCAAAACAGTATGAACGAGCAACTGTATGAAAGTTGGGAAGATAATTATTTACCGACTTATTTCGACACCATACAATCCACATGCGACATACAAACATTTTTTTTTTTCATGAGTTGTTAATGACAATACTCTCTACCAGTTTTGAACACAACCGCCGGACCGACGTCTTGCAGAGAGAATCATCATAGGTGATACGGACCATCACCTCGGGTCGTTGTCTCACATTAATCCCAAAGTGTGCGACGACAATCACCTTCGACAGAATACCACGAAGTCGATATCTTATTTTTTATTTATCTATTCAAAGTACAGATAACAGTGAATACATGAACTATATCATCAAGCTCCAGAAGGACAAACAATCTCTTATAGTTAGCTTACGTAGCAGTTTCACCAATATTATCGTGTACTTTAAAGAACAATGCACGAACCAAATCATCAAGGTCCAGGAAGACAAACAACCTCTTATAGTTGACTTACTTAACAGTTCTGCCAACATTGCTTTATACTTCAAGGAACAGTGGAAAAAATGCGTACTAACTTTAAAGGCAAGTGAAAAAAATATCTCTTATAGTTGGTTTACTTAAAAATTCTGCTAACATTGTTTTATACTTCAAGAAACAGTGGAAAAAATCCGTACTAACTTTAAAGACAAGAGTAACTCCTTCAAAAAAATTACCTTGAAAGTGTTTAAATGGACCACGCTCAAATTTACATGATACAATCGATCCCCCCAAACATATGAATAAATATTTACAACCATCCACCAAGAGTTCATCTTCAATACAGATAACAACAACACAATTAATGTTTCGCTATTTAAAAGTTATTAAGATATTCAACAGACTATGAGACATAAGATTTGAACCAGTATGCCAGTGGAATAATAACAACAATTTTATTGACGGCAACGAGACACAAGGATTAACATTCACCCGTTAGCGTTTTCTTCAACGTCTCTCTCGTAATCCCAATGGTTTTCGCTTAGGCGGATTTTTATTATCTCGTGCATTTAATGAACATGAGGAATAATTAATAAAAAAATTATCGTTGTTCAGCAACTCATTGTCAAGGCAAAAAAACAATGGAATGGTCACATATCATTGGATATCACATCTTTGAAACCATTGGTAAACTTTCTCATTCCTGTATCCCTTACTAATCAATGTTTGGTTGCATTATCTATAGGCATGCTTGCTTCATCTAGTTTGTAAATCTTGTACTTTGCTACCTATATATGTGTGACGACACCAAGGAAACACCAACGCATAGACAACCGGTCCCTAACATGAGCCGAAATCAATCGTTGGACCAAACACAACATAAATAGTTAACAAACTTTACGCCCTAGGGGATCTCACCACACAAGATAAGCAATACAACCAATAGACACAACAATGAATTCAACATCTCAACTCTCAACTGCTTCATAGAGGAAGA